AAGGATGGTGATAAGAGTGAGAAGCTGAAGAAGAAACCCTTTAAGAGGTTATGCAATTATTGCAAGAAACCAAGTCACATTAAAGCTAATTGCTTCAAACTAAAGAATAAACAAGAAAGTGAAGGTACAATTCTTTAAATTCTTCAAACTGCCCCTTTAGCTCTAGTTTGTTTTGAATCTAACACCATTGAAACTTCTTTTGACTCATGGTAGCTGGATTCTGGTGCCACTGTACATGTTGTGAATTCTCTACAAGGGCTAAGAAATTAGAAGGTTTCAAGTGAGGCATAGAGGTTAGTTTTTGGCATAACAGGGAGCAAGGCATCAGTTGAATGCATTGAAACTATTTCTTTGTATTTAAATTCTGGTCATATTTTAAATTTAAACAATGTTGTTTATGTACATTCTACGAAGAAGAATTTAATTTCAACTTCTACATTGGATATTTGTGGCTATACATTCTTTCAAGGAAATGAAAAAATTGATATTTATTGATTCCATTAATATTGATTGTGCTTCCTTGATATATGGTTTATATCGATTAAATGATTGGTCACTTGAACTTCCCAATCTCTATATCAATGCTGCTATTGGGCATAAACGTCAAAGGCCCAATGATAATTCCTCCATGTTATGGTATCGTCATTTGAGTCATATCTTTAGAGAGAGATTGGAACGCATGACTAAGCAAGGTGTCTTGTAAGACCTTGATTTCTCATATTTTGAGACTTGTGTTGATTGCATAAAAAGAAAATTCCCTGCTAGAGTTAGAACCAAAGGGGCAAAGAGGTCTGAAAATACTTTAGACCTAATCCATACTGACATCTATGGACCTATCACACCTCCGGCTATGGGTGATTTCAAATATTTCATTACATTCACAAATGATTACTCTCGTCATGGATAGATTGAACTCTTGTGTGAAAAGGGCGAGTCTCTTAATGCATTCAAGACCTTTAAGGCAGCAATTGAATTGAAATTTGGCAAGTTGATCAAATGTGTGAGCTTTGACAAAGGAGGAAAATTTTATAGGAGATATACTAAGACTAGCAGGAACGCTGGGCCATTCGCTTTGTACCTTCAAGAGCATGGCATTGAAGCTCAATATACTATGCCTAGCACCCTGCAGCAGAATGGGGTTACGGAAAGGCAAAATCGTACTCTCATGGATATGGTTAGAAGCATGATCAGTCACTCCTTGTTGCTAGAATTCTTGTGGGGTGATGCACTTAAAACTGCTGTTTATATTTTGAATCAAGTTTCTAGCAAGTCAATTCCAAAGACTCCATATGAGTTGTATTTTGAAAGGACTCCTGCATTAAAGCATATGCAAGTTTGGGGTTGTAAAGCACAGGTAAAACCTTACAATCCACAACAGATGAAGCTTAATGCTAAAACTATTGATGGTTTCTTTATTAGCTATTGCATCGGATTTCATGGGTACAGATTCTATTGTCCAAATCATACTACTAGGGTTATTGAATTTGATTGAGATTATTTCTTTGAAGATGCCTTATACAGTGGGAGCTCTAGTGCCTAGGCATATCATTTTATATGATGAAAGCAGTATTTTGCCTATGCCTATCATGATAACCCCTCATATTGATAGAAATAATGCCGTGGATCAGGATGAAGCTGAAGATGAATTGCCTTTAGAGGATGATGAGGATCTGGTTGTTGAGCCAAGATGGTCCCAAAGGGTTCACAGGTTTGCTATTCCAGATGATTACATGGTGACTTTACAGGAATTTGATTTAGATGCTATTGATAGTTTAAACCCAATATCTTATTAAGAGGCTATTTCTAGCTTGCACTCTTCTGAATGGTTGGAGGCTATAAGTAAAGAAATCACTTCTATGTACTGCAATCACGTATGGGAGCGTATAGAGCTACCAAAGGGTTTTAAACCAGTAGGTTGCAAGTGGGTCTTTAAAACAAAACGAGGAGCTAGAGGTGAAATTGATAGATACAAAGCCAGACTTGTAGCTAAGGGCTACAATTAGAAAGAAGGTATTAATTACACAGAAATCATTTTTTTCGTTTCCACTAAAGATGCTTTTATAGTGGTAATGGCTTTAGTTGCACAATTTGATCTTGATCTTCACCAGATGGATGTCAAGACTGCGTTCTTGAATGGTGATTTGTATGAAGAAGTCTACATGACACAACCTGATGGTTTTATTGAATCTAGTAGAGAATATCTAGTGTGCAGATTGAAGAGATCCATCTATGGGCTAAAACAGGCCTCTAGGCAGTGGTATATGAAGTTTGATGAAGTTATCACCTCGCTTGGTTTTTGTTGAGAATGTCTCAGATCAGTGTATCTATCAGAAGTTTGATGGGAACAATTTTGCCATTCTTGTTCTTTATGTTGATGATATTTTGATAGCCAACAATTCAATAAATTTTCTCAATGAGATAAAACACCTATTGTCTTGCCATTTTGACATGAAGGACATGGATAAAGCCTCCTTCATTCTTGGGATACAAATTCATCATGATAGATTTCGTGGTGTTCTTGGTTTATCACAGACCACCTATATTAAGCATGCACTTAAGAAATTCAGAATGGATTCATGTTCTCCCTCACTTGCTCCTGTACAAAAAGGTTAGTTATTATTAGAGTTATAGTGTCCCAAGGATGATAAGAAGAGGGTTGAAATGAGAAAGATACCATACACTTCTACTGTCGGTAACCTTATGTATGTTCAAGTGTGTACTCGATCAGATATAGCCTTTGCCATCGGAGAGCTGGGTCGATATTTAAATGATCCAGGTTTGGATCATTGAAAGGCTGCTAAGAAAGTTATGAGGTATTTTCAAGGTACAAAGAATTATATGTTGACTTACAGAAGGTCAAATTTTTTTGAGGTTGTTGGGTATTCTGATTATGACTTTAAGGGATCAGAAGATCTTGAAATTGTTGGCTTTTCAGATTCAAATTTTGCCTCTTGTCTGGATGATCATAAATCTACGACTGGCTACATTTTCATGTTGTCTGGAGGAGCTGTTTCTTGGAAGAGTGTGAAACAGACACTTACAGCAGTTTCATCTATGGAAGTTGAGTATATTACTTGTTTTGAGACTACACATCACGCTATATGGCTGAGGAAGTTGATATCCAGCATGCACTTAGTTGAGTCAATAGCACGTCCTTTAACCATTTAATGTGATAACAAATCTGCAGTATACTATACTAATAACCACATAATTTTCAGTCGTACAAAGCATTTTGATGTTAAGCTTTTGTTTGTGAAAGAGAAAATTATGGAGTCTCAGACTCGTGTGGTATACATTCCTGACACGCAGATGCTTGCAGATTCGCTGACCAAGGGCTTACCTGTAGAAATTTTTCAAAATCATGTAACTTGTATGGGTATTGTGAATTCTTTTAATGCCTTGGTTTAGTAGGAGTTTGAGAACCTTTGTGTTTCAATTTCTCTTTAGGCTTTGTTTTCTTCTGTGAGTTATATTCAGTTCGGTTAGATGCGTCTATATCATTTGTATCCCTATAGGATTCAACGATTCTGTTGTGGTACGCTATGCATGTCACTTGTTTCCCTATAGGATTCGGTAATTTATGTTGTTGTCTTACTGAGCTGTGTTTGAAATAAAATTTCATATTTTATTCAGATTATGAGACATCATATCAGTTGTTTCCCCATAAGATCCAGTGATTTTATGGAGTTTCATTTTCTAAATTTTGTTTGTGGCTTGTTTATACAACTTGCTTAATTAATGCAATCCAAGTGAGAGATTGTTGGAATATTATTCATGGATTAACATTAATTAATAAGCCTAAGCAAATTGGTCCTTATGATCTTGTGTGAATTGTGATAGGTGGACCACACAAGTGAGCCTAATGGGCAGAGGCTCAACCCACAACCCAGTAGCCATCAATTATTTCCTATTTCTTAATTGACTGAGTCAGAGATAATAGAAAATAATTATTTAATTGTTTAATAAAGTGGTTACTGGTTTAATCCTTATAAGTCGATCAGTTGATAACTACTAAACACACGATGCATTTTCTCTTGCTCCATTATCTCTGCACTCTCTAAAGACTTTGGGGGCCAGTAAGTACTAGGTGGTGCATCTGTCTACACTTGAAATAATCGAGCTTTCTCAAGCGATCAATAGATTCTTCAGGTATGCATACATCACTTTACTTGTTCATATGAATTGAGATATACAAATTCAACATATTGTTATTCATGTCTCGCTCTCACATTGTCAGCTTAATATGAACATCTTGATCTTGTCTCAATTTTTAACAGAACGAAATGACTTTTTGTACGTAACATAATAGTACTAAACAAAAATTTAATTTTGGTTATTTTTTGGGACGGGGACATTGAAGAGAAGTATGCCTTCCGTCCTGTGAAGATGGAAGAGGCCTGCCATGCCATTCCTAGGTAGAGCCGGGAATTCAGGCGGGCCGGGCTTATTCGGGCTCGTCTCGAATAAGCCCGAACCCGAATAGGCCCGACTCCTCGAAAAGCCCGAATAGCCAAGCCCGGCCCGAATTTCTTCGGGCTTCGGGCGGCCCGAATACCTGAATTAATTTTTAAAATTATTTTTAATTATTTTTTTACTTTGAAATTAATTATTTTATTTTATAAAAAATATAAAATATATTTTTTTAATACTTAAATGATCTCTAGGACTCAAATATATGGTATTTTAGTATAAAATGATCTAAAACTTAAAGAATTAATTAATATTTATTATATTATATATATTTTTTAAAAATATAATTTTTTTATTCGGGTATTCGGGCCCGAATAGGCCAGAACATAAAAAAAAACTTTTTTTTCTAAGCTCGGCCCTAAAATTTTTCGGACCATTTGGGCTTGGCCTGAATTGCCGGCTTTATTCCTAGGTAATTCTTATTCCGTCGGATTAAGCACCATGGAAATGAACCCGTTTCCAGAAAATGAATTTTTAGATGACCAAATTGTCCCTGTGATTTTATGCAAAATTCTATTTTGCCTATAGCCCTAATCCAACCCTTTCTCACGCGATCGAATCTGGGTGCTCGTCTCCTCCACACTATCTTGCTCGCGCGGCTGTGGCGACAACTGCATCAGTGCCACCGGCTCCTCTGACAGTTCCGTGGGAGCAACAGCAGTGGCGAAGGTCTCCGGCGACAACCAGCATCCTCGCATGGCGTTGGACGCTGCGCCGGCGGCGGCGTTGGAAAGATGTGGGAGGGGGTTTCATTCCTTTCAAGTTCTCTTGGTCTATCTCTTTTCAAACCGTTCTCACTCCCTCGTGGCTTCTCGTTTCTTTTACTCTTCCTTTCAAACTGTTCGGAGCTATCCGTGAGTAACTCAGCTAAGATGTTGGTTTCCCAGGACCTGCTGACATATTCGAGTTTGACAGCCTCAAGGTGGGTTTTTAAATTTCTTGATATTTTAGATTTGTTGTATTTAATTTGTTAGCCTGTGATTTGCTTTAGATTTTTTCCCCCTTGGTTTCTGGAAAATTTCCTCCGATGAGGAAGAAATATGGGAGGAGGAAGAGGAGGACCATGTTGAGTGAGTGTTTAATGGATGGGATATTTTGGTATCTTACTACTATAATTAATTATACTGATGAAATAAAAATTATATTATCATTATCATTTCACCCTATGCCAAACAAACATACTTTTTTAAACCCATCCTCATTTTCATTCACATTCCTATTCCATAAAAAAATCATTCCATCCTACCAAAAAGGGCGTTGAAGTCAGAGTCAATGCGTTGACCCCATGTGGCAGCCCACGGGAAGGAGGGAACAACAGTCACTTGACGGCTGTGCCTAACTTTGTGACTTTTGTGCTGCTGGCTCCCACTTTTTTTACATATTATTGATGTATCGCGGTGAATATCTTCTGGCCATCGCCAATGGATTCCCATAGCAGACTTTCTTCATCTTCTTCATCATCAAAAAGGGTCTGGAAATATGATGTGGCTATAAGTTACAATGATATGGAAACTCACTCGTTTTATACAATTCTTTGCAATGCTTTAGAAAAAGAAGGTTTCAGAATTGGCAGGAGCTTGCCTAAACCATTAGAAAAAATTGTAGAATCCCAGATTTATATAGCTGTCTTCTCACATAGATATGCTTTCTCACCAAGTTGCTTGGACACCCTGGCAGTAATGTTTGAGTGCATGAAGGTGCCAGGCCACAAATTTCTGCCAATTTTCTTCAACATCCATCTGTCTAAAGTGAAGACATGGCTAGCTACATTTCAGACACTACTGGAACGCCCAGATTTGGTCGTACAAAACTTGTAAGTAATAATTAATGTTCTGTTAGTTTATATGTTGGTATGGATCTGGTTGTTCACATCTCATCATCTTTATGATCTCCTAATGCATGTTCAACAAATTGATTAAATCCTTCACAGTATATGTTTGGGAAGTTTTAATTATCTAAACTATTTTTGATACAGTAATGTAACTTTTAATTATCTAAAGTAAACTTTCATTTAGATAACTCAAACAAGAAGTGTATAGAATTTGAATTGTAACACACGATTTATGACTTATTAATAATATGAACAGTCATAAGTTTTATATTTTATATATATTGATGATACTCGTCGTTATGCTTGATAGAACATAGAAGTTTTATATTTTACATTGATAATACTCGTTGTTATACTTGATAGAACATAGAAGTTTTTATATCCCAATGTTTTTTTATTAAGGAACTATAGTTTTTCTTCATATAATTCTGGACAAAATTTACCCAACTGCATCTGTCAGGCCTTGAACAAGAAAATAAAATAGAATTTGAGACTGAAATTTCTGTATTCATTTCTTGTGTAAAAGTTCAGTACATTTGCCAGCTCTATATACACGTGATTGAGCAGAGCTGGTAGCGAAGCTGGAGGCTGAATCAGATCCTTTAACAGAATCATAAATATACCCTCTTTCAATTATCATTTCAGTCGTCTTCATCAATTGACAAGAGTGCAAACTTCCTTACAGTTCTCTTGTGTTTATTCGGAACAACATGCTTGTAACTAAAGGAGATCTACCTCTGTATCTTGCTTGCAAAAATTATAGACTTGCTACGACTTAGTGATGCTTACCTTATAGAAAGTACCTTTTGAGCCCAAGTACATTGAATTGAAATAAATATACTGAGCCTCTGCTATATCTTTTATTATGAGTTAATTGTAGTTGCTTGCATTTTGCGTAAAGCGTAATGGCATTTTTTTATTTTTTGTTCTTTTTCTCTTCTTTTCTCTAGGGAAGATCAAAGACGAGTTATTGGCAAAATAGTTGTGGAGGCAAAGAGAAGTTTGGTTGAAGAAAAAGAGATGTAAGTTACATTCTGTCAAGATCTTTATAGTTTGTTGGGTATGGAATATTATTGTTCTGATAAACTTCTGTCTTTGTTCATGCTTAAATCGATCAAAAAGCTCTTATTTATGTTTTCAAGACGAGTTATAGAACAAAGGAAACAGGCAACTTATAAATTAACAATGCAAGACTGTTTGGCAATGCTAGGTGTAAGACTTCCTTATGTCATTTTGGTTTTGTTTTAAGGAGCAAGAGTTTTCCTCTTGTTTTGCATTTGAAACTATCCAACCATCTTCTGTGAGTGCTAATCCTTATATCACACAAAGTTTTAGGAAGCAAGTCGGGTTCAATGTTACTACTAAACTATGGTTTCAGATTTGCAATGGATGTCCAAAGAAGTGTACGGTCATCAAACAAGGGGGTATGGCCATGGAGCTGTGATGTGTTTGTATTGAACTTCATAACAGAGGACAATTGCTCATTTGTTGAAGACTTTCGTAATGCTCTATATAGAAATGGTGTAGTTATGGCTTTACGAGATTCTATTGCTTAAGCTCCCATGGACAAATACAAGCTTTATGTTTTTATCATCTCAAGAAACTATGAGGCCCAAACACACTACTTGCAGGAACTGAACTCAGAGGAATGTGTATTTCTGCCAATTTTTTTGGAAGTGGATCCCTTCCAAATACGGAGTAGCAGTTTTATTGAACTGGAACAAAAGTTGGAGCTATGTTCACTTCCAATAAACGATTGGTGGTTAAAGATAAGTAAGACCTTCTTATCTAATTTTTCTGTTCATGTTTTTAAATTTCATCCTTTCAAAGCATTTTTAAGGGATAAATGAAGAAGAGAAAAGAAATAAACTATGATTTAATTATCACTTGATCTGTGTCCTCTTTCCTTCAATTGACATCTGTTCACTTCGTTAGTATAGCGCTAATTTTCTTTTCTTTCATCTTATTCAGGAGAGATCAGCCTCGGGTTATTGGTAATATTGTTGATAAATCTCTTGACATTTTGTGGAAAAAGCGTGGCCTGTAAGTAACATTATTTTAGTTCTGTATGGTTCTTTCTCTGGATATAATTGGCCGTATCAAACTGATCAAGTCCTTTTTTATGTGTGTGCGCGTGGATAGAGAAAATTTGAACTATTATGTATCAAAATTACGAGTAAATTGAAATCTTTCCTTCACTCATACCTATATGAAACGATAACTGCTGAATTATTTTTGTTCTCTTTCTCAGGATATCATTGCTAAACCATCTCGAACCACTTGCAAAGGAAATAGATAAATCAGGAGAAATAGCTACAGTCGGGATAGGATATCGCCATGTACAAAAACTAATTGAGCTTCTGGACATTGGTTCAAAGGTTGATGTGCGAGCTGTAGGGATTAGTGGGATGGGGGGAGTAGGGAAGACAGCTCTTGCTGGAGATGTGTTTAACAAAATCTCCCACCTTTTTGATTCTGCCTATTTCATCTCCAGTCCAAATACCAGTCAATTTGACTGCCCTAATCAATACATGTTAAAAGAGGCATTTCTGCGGATAGCATTCCCAGAACAATTTGAACCTGAATATTCTGAAAGCCTAAGACTCTATAGAATGCTTGTTGTTTTTGATGATGTAGGTTACTGCAAACATTTTTGTAAAGGATGGATTAGAGGGTTGTTTGGAGGAGGAAGTAGAATTATCATAACAGGCAGAGATGAGGGACTCCTTAGAGAGCTTGGAGTTGATGAAATTCACAAGGTGGAACTATTGAATCAAAATGAAGCTCTTCGGCTTTTCTGCAAAATTGTTTTCAGAAGTGATGAACCAATGAGAGGTTATGAGGAGCTGACCGTTGATGCACTTAGATATGTCGATGGCCTTCCATTAGCTATTAAATCAGTCGGTTCATCGTTGGTTGGTCTAAGTGTCTCAAAGTGGAAAAGTGTGTTGACCAAACTGCAACGGTTCCTGACTTTTCAGTACTCCTGGAACTTAAGAAAAGTTTTGATGGACTCACTTATGAGCAGAAGAATGCTTTCTTGGATATTGCATGTTGTTTTGCAGGACAAAAGATTGATTACATCAAGGGAATTTTACGCACTCGATATTTTGATTATATTGTTGAGACAATAGTCAGAAGTCTTACGGATAAGTCATTGATAATCATATCAAATCAAAGAATAAAAATACATTCTCTCCTACAACAATTGGCAAAAGTAATTGTTCAACGTGAATCTTCTCAGCCTGGAAGGCGGAGTAGGATATGGAATTATGAAGATTTTCGTCATGTCATGGAGACAAACACTGTAAGTTGTTTGTACTTTAATAGTCTTAAAAGTAAATTATCAGTTTAGCCCTTTAGTTATGCATCATGTTAGTTTAGTTCATGAAATATCCCCCAACTTAGATAAAATGTATTGCAAAACACGATCCTTATTCATGTATCCTTATTGTAATAGAGTTTTAATTAAATATGAAACACATCTTTAAATATTAGGAGTTGATAGGGATGGTTAAAAACCATCTAGGTGGTTGCTATATAACACAAAGTAATGGCATTTTGGACAGCATGGACATAATTAAGATATACTCTGTTCACCTTAACTGTATTAACAAATTGCCCAATTGATAAATTTAACAAAGCCTTTATATTGATTTGATGGTAATTCTTTTTCAAAGATTACATAGATGAAACGTTTATATTTGAAACATATAAATTTTAGGAATTAGAATATTAGCTTATTGTTGTGTTTATATATAGATAGTTATTAGTAATTTTGGCTTTTCAATTTTCTTATATAATACATTTATATTCAGGGAACTAATCGTGTTGAAGTTATAGTACTCTCAAATGAAGAACCTCCACAAGGGACGACATTGAACATTGAAGGTTTATCAAAAATGAGGAGACTTAGAATCCTTGTATTTCACAATGTGAAATTTTCAGGAAGTCTCTATGATCTTTCCAGCGAATTGAGATATATTCTTGGCAGAAATATCCATTTAATTATTTGCCATCAAATTTTATTCCAAAAGATCTTGTGGAATTGATCATGCCAAATAGCAACATGACACAAACTATGGAGAGACCAAGAGGTATTGATAATTTTTTTTTCCCTTATAACGATCAAAACTCAATTGATTATGATCAACAAAGATTTGCTTAATTTCTTTTAATTTGTTGAGTGAATCAGATTTTTAATGATTGTCTGATCTGTTATCCAGTTCAGAATTCCATTGCTAACAAGCTTGAACCTCTGTGGCTCTAAAGATCTGAAGAAGATATCTGATTTTAGATTGCTTCCATGTCTTGAGAAGTTAGACTTGGAAGGATTGTACTTCATTACGGCAGCTTCATCCTTCTATTGCGTCTCTTCAAAAGCTCGAGCTTTTGAATTTGAGAAACTGCACAGATCTAGATAGTATTCCAAATGAATTATTTGGCAAAAGCTCTCTTGAATTTTTAAATCTGGCTGGCTGCTCTAAATTTGCCCAAT